CTAGAGATAATCTCATGTATATATAGTATATTGAAGACAGTCTCAAGCAAAGTTCGTTGAATTGCGTCCCAAGTCCCCTTAAGGCAGTCTCAAATAAAATTCAACTGGGGGTGTGTCTCAAGTAAGTCCATTGAAGGCAATCAAAAGTAAAGCCCACGGAAAGCAATCTCCCGTAAAGGGTATTGAATATCAGCTGAGGTAAATTCATTGCATATCATGTCAAGTAAATTCCATTTGAATTGAATATCAAGTAAAGTAAAGTCCACGGAAAAGAATGTCAAGTGAAGTCCATGGAACTGAAGTTCGGATTAAAATCATTGGACATATACAGACGTAAAGTTCAGTGAAATGGATCAAGTAAAGTCGACTGAAAACATTCTCAAGGGAAGTGCTTTTGTAATTAGATCAGCCGAAAGCACATGTAATTGTCATCAAGCATTTTCTCAAGTAAGGTCATGCGTAGCACTTGGAAGCAACAAGTCCGTTTATCCATCCTTTGTGACTTTAGCTATGTTTGCTGATATCATATATATAATCCAAATTCTTGTGGACAACATTTTTTCAATGAGTTCACGCATGTAACATCTTGAAGGCAGAAGCTGTTGCCTTTTTAAAAGGCATGTTTCGGGACGTGAAGAGTTCCACTTGTTTGTGCGCGGTGCTCTTTTCCAGAAAGAACAAAACTGTTTTGAATCAGAGGTCTTGATATTTCACACAAACTTTTGCGGATCATGCTTGGAAAAAACGATTCCATGTCAATATTCCCTTTTATTTGCATGTTTTAACCAAAAAATGCCACTAGTGAATTGCCAAGTTTACTGTTTTTTGACTAAACTGTTTAACCTTGCAGACTGACGGTATAGATTCTGTATAGTGCCCACGTTTTGCTTTCACAACGTCTCCCCCTGAATTTTAAACGGGAATCCCACACACCCAGTTGATATGTGATTGGTTTTCCTTCATTGGCTTTCCTTCAGATGACCTTCTAAAAATAGAATGGCTGCTATGACCATCGGTCAATTGACATTTCATGACATGGACATGGATGCTACAAGGTAAGGCTCCCCACTTACAAGTTTGTTTTTACATGTTATTCAGTATAGTTAGATCTTCCACAACTATATATCACACACGTCATTGATTGCAATCAGTGTGCCACGCTTATCTTCGCATCGTGCTTACGCCACACAAGTAAACCACGCGAGCATGTTAGTGCAAGCATAAGTTGTCTTTATGAAATTGATCTACAAGTCCCTTTTTCCCGAATTGGTTTAACATATTATGTTTGTAGCTGAACTTCACCTTCTGAATTGTGATCGCTCCTTCGTTCACAAAGAACTTTACACAAGAACTTCGCGGCAGATCCGCACATGAAAGTGGCACAAAAGGGACAGCCCATGGAAACCGTGGCCGCCCATACAGGACATATGCAACGTCAAAAGCTTGAAAAGAATAATTATCTCTTGTTTCCAGTCATAAAAATCCCAACATGGCATTGCATCTGCCCTTTGCTATCTTCCACTCTTTCTTTAGTAAAAGTCTACATGCCGGACTCAGCCAGAGTCAGCAGGAGTCAGCCGGTCAGCCGGAGTCAGCCGGTCAGTCGCAGTCAGCCGGAGTCAGCCGGAGTCAGCCGAGATCAGCCGGTGTCAGCCGATGTCAGCCGGTCAGCTGGAGTCAGCTGGAGTCAGCCGCAGCCAGCCGGTCAGCCGGAGTCAGCCGGAGCCAGCCGGTCAGCCGGAGTCAGCCGGAGTCAGCTGGAGTCAGCCGAAGTCAGCCGGAGTCAGCCGGAGTCAGCCGGAGTCAGCCGGAGTCAGCCGGAGTCAGCCGGAGTCAGCCGGAGTCAGCGGAGCAGCCGGAGTCAGCCGGAGTCAGCCGAGTCAGCCGGAGTCAGCCGGAGTCCAGCCGGTCAGCCGGTCCCAGCCGTAGTCAGCTGGTCAGTCAGCCGGAGTCGTCAGCCGGAGTCAGCCGGAGTCAGCCGGAGTCAGCCGGAGTCAGCCGGAGTCAGCCGGAGTCAGCCGGAGTCAGCCGGAGTCAGCCGGAGTCAGCTGGAGTCAGCCGGAGTCAGCCGGAGTCAGCCGCAGTCAGCCGGAGTCAGCCGCAGTCAGTGTTTCAACCCTCCTTCCCAGCACTCTGGATTTAATGGAATTTCAAGAGGATTTACTAAGGTTTTAATAGAATTTCATGTGGACTTAGTTGGATTTAATGGATTTTTATGAGGATTTAGTGGGATTTAACGGAATTTCATGTGGATTTAGTGGGATTTAATGGACTTTCTCTTGTGGATTTAGTGGGATTTAATGCAACTTCATGAGGATTTAGTGGGATTTGATGGAATTTCATGAGGATCTAGTGGGGTTTAAAGGAATTTTGCAGGCTTGCCTTATCTTGCCTCCCAAGTGTGCCGTAACTCAGTATGGATCCGACAGCTTTTGGCTTCCGTCAAGCGGGAAGAAGGAAAAAAATCAATGCTCCAGCTCCAGGCACAGAAACACCAATAGGTGCTGGAATCGCTGGCACAGCAGCACGAGCAGCGCGAGAACCAACTTGACACGATCACCGTGTTTGCGGATGACTTTAAAACCTGGTTTTGCTCACGACGCTCACGTGCACCACGAATACAGCGTGTTGTCAAGCGTCACAGGCAGACCAACCTTCTCTAAAAACGGATGACTCTTGTATTCATGCACTGTGCAACATTTCATGAGGATTTAGTGGGATTTAATGGAATTTCATGAGGATTTATTGTGGGATGTAATGGAATTTAATGAGGATTTAGTAGGGTAATGAGGATTTAGTGGGATTGAATGAAGTTTAGCGAGGATCTAGTGGGATTTAATGGAATTTCATGTGGATTCAGGTGGATTTAATGGAATTTCATTAGGATTTAGTGGGATTTAATGGAATTTAATGAGGATCTAGTGGGATTTAATGAATTTCATGAGGATTTAGTAGGATTTAATGGAATGTGTAATGAGGATTTAGTGGGATTTAATGAAATTTCATGAGGATCTAGTGGGATAATGGAATTTCATGAGGATTTAGTGGTATTGAATGGAATTTCATGAGCATTTAGTAGGTTTTAATGGAACTTCATGAGGATTTAATGAGGATTTAGTGGGGTTGACTGGGGGTTGATGAGGATTTAGTGGGATTGAATGGAATTTCATAAGGATTTAGTGGATGGAATCTAATGAGGATAGAGTGGGATTTAATGGGATTAAATGAGGATATAATGGGGATTTGAAAATCCACAATGAATCCTTGACTTTCGGTTTGTCGATGATGGTTGACGAATTCCCAATGGGAGATCCACTATGACTGGGGAATCGATTAAGGGAATATGGTTCATTTTTTGGTGGTTCCGGATCAGCAGTTCACAGAAAAGAGAAGGTAAAGCACAAAGAAAAGGATGAGTTGTTTCAGTTGTTTCTTATATCAAAGATATGGCCTTGAACCGATCACATTCAAAATTGTGATACAACCAATAAAAACCAAGAAAGTGAGGTTGGTTTTAAGGCAAAATGGTGATTTAACCAGAAAATATTGCGATTTGACCACCAAAATCAGGATTTGAATGGATTGGGAACATGAAAACCGGAAACCATGGTACCATGGTGTACAGAGAGCTGGGTTCCTGTAGTTTTTTTTCTTCATCCATTGCGGGGAACAAAGAATATATTGATTCTTCCTTAAGCACTAAAATAGATGAAATTGTGAAACGATCAAGAATTTCAACATATCAAAGAGAATAAAGTCACCAACGGAAATGGAGGATTCTACCAACAAGAATGGATGGCTAGTTTAAATGGATGAATGCTACTGATATGTTTATTCTGAGGATCTTGAAGTTGCTTTCCCCTGATTTTACATAGAGTCCTGCTTTTTTGGGCCCTACAATTATTCATAGATCCAATACGCGGCCAGGCTTTCTGGGGCTCCTTAGACAGATCCCCGCTTGGACTGTGCACAACAACCAGGGTTTCAATGGTCCAATACACAGAGGTTGATGTTGCTAGAATAAGCTGCCCAAATGGCCCAAGCGTATTTTTGTACGTACATATATACATGAATGTATTCATACATATCATGACTATGATAATGATGATCATCATCATGAACTTCGAAACATGAGTCCTTCTGATTGATGGGCTCCAAGTTCAGATTGCGTTGTGGTAAACACAACCATAATTGGGGCCGATATCTTCACGTTGTACCTGCAGGAGGGGTGATACTTGGAGGAGCATCTCACTAAAAATTTCCCATAATACCCAATAGATCATTAATCTATCTAATTAAGTATACTATCTCCAATAAAAAAATAGTTCTTAGTTACAGGATGGGCCCCCAAGTTATAAGTTGGTTTGTAAATAGTAAACCATTCTAACCCCAATTAACTAGTTCGTTATATCTACCATTTTTACCATAGTTTTTTCAGCCACTGAAATGTTTGGCGTTTCTGAACGCGATCGCTCAACTCCATCCTGTAGGTATATCATTAACATTCCCATTCACGGGTTTATAATGGCATTAAATCCCATTATATCCCGTCATCAATATCTCATCATTGGTATTATCAATGGTATACTATCTTCCATATTTGATTTTTTTCATCAGTATCTATTATATCCCATTATCAATATCCCATTTTCAAAATATCTCCCATATACTATACCCATAAATTCTAATATCATATGATATCCCATCATCAATATCTCATCAATGGCATACTATCTTCCATATTTGATTAATTTTCATCAGTATCTATTATATCCCATTATCAATATCCCATTTTCAAAATATCTCCCATATACTATACCCATAAATTCTAATATCATATGATATCCCATCATCAATATCTCATCAATGGTAATATCAATGGTATACTTTCTCCCATAAAATAAATTCTTACTTCGAGCATGTTTGATCAGTCGCGTCCATCAGGATCTTCCATGATCCCCCGCGTAAAAATCGCGTCAGCGCGCCTGAAACCATTTCAGGTGCCCATTTACGACGGCTACGGCCTGCCGCACTGCATCAATCGTATGGAGCCCAGATGGAGCTTTCCGAGACGTCATAGGGGTACCAAAAAAAATTGATTCGGATGGTTTATATCATGGAAAATCCATCTATAAATGCATGATTTACATGGAACATCCCTATTTTCGAAAACACATGTGGACGTTTTATGAAGCGGTCATGGTGTTTTTTTAGCAACACAATATGGAGGTTTTTGGGGATTCATTTCGCAGACGGCAGAAATGAGTTGTTTTTTAATATCATGCTACTACAAAAGCTACTATACTCATCAATGAGCTTTGGGCTCATATTCAGAAGGGATCATATTCACAAATAAACTAGGGTAGTCCAAAGTGCAATAAAACAATGGAATTGTGAAGCAAAACTGAAGAAAATGGAAGGAAATCTGCCTCCGCGCCCCCAACGTAATTTCTTTTTTTGTTTATTTTTCTATTCTTTCCAATGTTTTCCTATTTTTTCTATTTTTCAAGTTTTTCTCAGTTTTGGAAGGTAATTGAATCAGTAATTGAAGGAACATCCAGCTGGCTATCCACAAGATGTTTTTCCATGATTTTTAAATATGTTTAGTTAGTTTTTGTTATGTTTCATGATTTGTATATTTTTTGACAGCTTCCATTATTTTTCCTCGATTGTAAGTATGATTGCTTTTTTGTTACAATTTGGTATTATTTATTTTTATCTTAATTTATTATGTATTATCATTACTTACTTTTTCCAGGTTTGATTATGATCCCTCCTGATTAGACTCCCTGTTCTCATAGAAGATATACCAAACTACGTTTTCTGAAGTTGTATCCCAAGATATCCCAAGATATCCTGCCAAACATGATTGATTTTGTTTCCTTTTTGAAGCGTATCCAATGTTAGTCCTTGGAAGCCTTGGATATCAAAAAATGCTGCTTTAAGAGGCCTTAGTCAACGGCAAAGCCGGGAATTTTGCATGAAGATATTGGCCAACTGGTTGCTGACGGGTCGGTGATTATAATATTTCATAAGATGTTGCCTATTTGCGGATACATGATCCTAACCAACAAAAAAACATGTTTATATGTTTGGTATATGCTTGTTTGGTATATGAGAAACATTATATATACTAACATATTAAGGTTAACCAAAAAAAAACAAAAAAAAAACGATGTTTTTCCAGGTCATCTAGGATTGATGATTAAAATCTCGCACCTTTTGCCCGGTGGAGAAAAACCGGAAAAAGAAAAACTACCCCCGGTGCTGTCAGCCCGTGAGGCTTGGACCTTGCTGGTAGAGAGTTGAATACCTTGATGCTTGGTTGAAGGGCTGTCAGTGCTGGTGAAGCTTGTGGTTTTAATCGATGTACTTATCAATTTAGAATATCCAATTGTATGCCCACATTAAAATCTTATCATGGTATTGGTGAAACTAAAGCAACAAACACAAGCATCGGTTAAATCCCCAGCAAAGCACTTGAAATCTCACATGAAATCCCATCACACCAATAATAAACACACCCTAAATGGTCCCAGTCAGATGTGTTTTCATCCCCTACATACACCATGGTTTTGAAAGGGGTGTTTCATGTTGGACAAGATCAATTAGTTATTGCTGATAGGTTACATATCGAATTATAGCAATCTCCTATGAGTTCAAGAGTTACAAAAATATACCCTCTGGTTATTCAACATAGCTATGGAAAATTGCCCATTTATAGATGTTGTTTGATGATTTACCTTTTAAAAATGGCTCATTTTCCATGGCTATGTCAAATAACCAAAGGGTAACTTGATTTTTCTTTGAATGTGTATTCTCATTCATAGTTACTAATACCGCCCCAATCTCCCATGAGTATGGAGCTTTCCGAAGTCATAGGGGTACCCCTAAATCATCCATGTTTGTTTGGGATGTTCCATTTTTTGTTTAACCATCCAGCTATTGGGGTACCCACATTGATGGACACTCCCAAATCAATAAATCCACCATCATTATACACCATTGTCATGATAAATCCACCACGATTATGGATAAATCATGAGAAATCCACCATGATTATGGATAAATCATGATAAATCCACCAGTTTAAATTTAGCGGGATATATCCCATGTTTTCGTATCTTTTGCTGCTTCCCAGTTGCAACGTCCACTTGCACCCAGTTCTCAGTCGCCCAGGATGTGCAAACTCTTGGCCATGGAGGCAACAACCGGTGAGTGGAGGCTTACCCTTTGTCATTGGATTGGTTTTGTTGGGAAATGTTTAACCGGAAAGCCCCCATATGTCATTTAAAAAAACGATGGTTTCCGGTTAATATGTTCCCAACAAAACCAATCCATTGATTTTGGTAAATTCACAGGTTGACGGTTGACATTGAAAATATGCAATTGTTTTAGCGGTTTCACTCTTCTCCCAAGCCCGAAAAATCTCTTAGGTCTATGTGTATTTACTGGGTTCATCATCATTTATCAGCGGTTTAAGCATGAAGAATATGGGGA